TTTTTGTGTCATTATAATACTTATTGTAGCATATCTGTGTTCTACTCTCATGTATAAACAAAATGCTAAAGCTAAGGATATTGTATTGTTTGATATAGACATATTTGTAAACAAGGAAAAGATAGGCTACCTTTTACAAGTTTTTATTTAGTTAAATGTAATGTATGTAACACATAACAATAATAATAAACAGTGTAATAATAACAATATCTATATTGATTGACTTAAAATAGAAAAACCAATTTGATCCGGGTCAACTAACAGGAAGTGCTGGCATTTCCATATGATTACAATTTAAAATAGACAGACGTCCGGTGCAAACTTCTGTTAAATTGGCAATGCTTTTCCCACCTGTTATCAATTAAAGCATTTACATCTGCATTTTAAATTCTTGTTTACAACCAAGCAATGAAAAGGCCTTAGTAATTTTTAGGTTATTTAGACGGATCTTAAATAAACTGAGCCGAAAGGAACCCAACGCAATAAATTTTCTATACACATTGTAATTTAATGACAGGTGAGATTAGAAATTCCGCAGATTCATAATGTTTTAATTCGAGGAATATTATCACTATTTTACCTTCTACGAGAGTTATATTTGGATTGATTTGCGTGTACCTTAAAGCGTTACACAAACTGCTTATTTGGTACTAGATCTGGGGGTGAATCTTTCTATTATGCTAACACATAGAAAATAAGGAATATCCAATGTAGAGAAGTTTCTCTATTTTTTTTATATCTATAATGTATTTTTTACTAAGACAAATACTTTTCATAAAGGTGTCATTGACTTCATTCATCCAAATATCAAGGATCTGAGTCGAAGGGCAACCAGAGCCGCGATATTCAATGAAACACTACATAGGTTCTAGAAGCTATGAAATTTAATTTGTTGTATTTATAGTTCATTCATGTTGTACTTATAATTTACGGCATGTAAATACAAATGTTTTTTCAATCCAGATAAAACTGGAAACTATTACCTACGCAGATACGGTCTTAGTTATCTACTGGTAAAACTTATTATACTTATAAACGTAATGGCCGGAACGCTACTTCCGCTATGGACCCGTTCCTTTTCCGTACCACGGCCATCATAGGAAGTTGGTGCAGATTCGTTCTCTCCTCCCTCTTTTCCCTCGACCCTCACACGTCCTCCGGCCCTGGCTGCCGCTGTCTAATTTCCTCTTCCCGCGTATACTAATTTCCGGCTTAAACTATTCTATGTCTTTCATTTCCTATCAATATTAATTGCGAATTTAGTTCGATAGCAAAATGTTTACATGCGCTAAATTAATTCCCTGGTTTGCACTATTTTTTCATACCTTGAAAATCATTTTCCAGGACCAATGCAAATTCCAACTAAAGCTACCAATGAAATCTTATTCATCGTATCCGGTAAGGCTTGTACAGGATTACCAAAAATATGATGTACTGATCTTAATCAGTGGTGGCCATTACCTCAACGCCGGCAGCCTATTGCACACTTCATAAAGAACAAGATAAGTGCAACATGTTTTTGCAGTTGATTTTAGGACATACAGGAATATAAAGTAATTAACGCATTACTTATATGAGTATCTTTTCATATCAACATAGAAGAGGGTCTGGAGAAGTGATATTTAAAATAAAATATATCGGTCTCTATGGATATAGTTCGTCTTTCTTGATGTAAAGGTAACAGATAGGGCGCTTGTGCACTACACTGAATTTTCAGGTCCGGCGGTCCGATTTTTTCCGGTCCGGAATGACATGAAAAACTCGGATGAGTAGCTTGCGCACTTGTCCGTTTTTTTCCTGATCGGAGCGGCGCAGTGTAGGGCAGCTCTCTTTGAAGCTACACGTCACTTATGCTAGGTACGATGAGATTTTTGGAACGTTGGTAATTCCATTCGAAGACGTAGAAAGGTACCTAAATAATGATCTGATCGTTTTACATAAACCATAATAAATTATGGCAAGACGAAAGCATTTTTTTTACTACTATCGAATGACTACTATCAGATGTAAAAACTTATACCCTTACTAATTTAGGAACAGCATTATTCACATACAATAGCTAAAAATATCTGACATTAGAATAAAATTACTGATAATGGTCTAGTACTTGATGTTTAAATTTTTAAATGTGCAATTTTTTTTCGAAGTTTTGTAAAAACAACTTTCAGCGATTACAGAGATAGACCAATCGGTGGCAAACAAATCGAAATTAGTGCCGTGTTAGCGGAGAATTATTATTATCTTTATTATTACTTCTGCTGTCAAATATTTATCTATACTTATCAATTATTAAAAAAAAAATTGATAACAAATTTCCAGGCAAACTTTCATCCCCTATTTTTCTCAATAAAATGTAGCCTAAAAAATATAGTAAATAGACTTAATTTAAGAAAGGTCTTAAAGTTAAGTCTAGTTACTATATTAATTTCCATTTAGATGGGTTCAGTTGTCTAAACGAAACAACACTTATTTATCTTACTTAAGCTATCGAAACTTTTAATACGATTCTAAAATCTAGCTAAGTATCGATACTAGAACCATATGCTGATCAAATTAGAACTATACCGAGTTTTCCAAAGCATATGCAGTGATATATACCAACTATATTAAATCATATAAAATATAGCATTTTATAATCAACAATAAATATCGATTATAAGTTTATTGGAAATTAACAATATTGCCGAAATAAATATCGATTCAAATCGATTATTTTTTCCCAAGCCTATTCCTTATGAATTTTCCGGATCTCGGACACAGCAGTGCACAAGCGTAAACACGTTTTTCATTGCCGCCATCACGGACCTGAAAAAACCGGTCCGGAATAGAGAAAAGTAAAATTCCGGACGGTAAAATTCCTGACAGTGCACAAGCGCGCATTACCTACATATGGCCTGACATATCGGACCTGAAAAAATCGGACCGCCGGACATGAAAATTCAGTGTAGTGCACAAGCGCCCATAGACCACATGCTTGGTTAGCTGCTGAAAGTATGCGTGCACGCAATGATCTTATTTCGAGCACTTCCGCATGTATTCGGGATCCAGGTCCGGCGACGAGTGTCGCATTCCTACCACAAAATCCATCTTTAAATAGACAACTGCTTGCAGACAGTACAGTAACAACATACGTAACTGTATATTATTAATCTATAGGTAATTTGACACAATACACGTAGAGGCTAGCTAAGAAAGGTTATTGTAAGTTTTTACTTATAAACTACATAGTAAGTAGTTGAAAACCAGTCAATACAAGTACTTATAGTGACTTCTGAATATTTATTTTGTACTTCTGACATAGCTGACACAATTTGTGAAACAAACATATTAAGAAAACTCGACTCCTCATTATTAACACGTATATCAAGTGCTTATATGTAGAAAACATATAGGATAACAATTTGAATTTAGATTCACTTTTATGTTATTGTAACTTTCCATCATAAGAAACAAGTATTCATAATAGGATACTTAATATAAAAATTACACGAGTTACGTAAACCTACTATAATAACATTGACAAAGAAAGTAGCGGCTGCGGTCACGGTCACGTATGGATGAACATCGTAGTCTTATTTGTTAGCTCCAAACTGCTGCACATAGCTCCATTGGTAGAGTAGCCTGCGTAGCGACCACGTCATCGCACTATAAAATACAGACAACCGAACGAAAGAGCGAGAAAGAATGACTGAGGGAATGCGGAGCGGGCGAAGGGAGCAACAGGTAAAGATTCCGAGACCACTTCCGTCTTGGCTGCCGAATATTTCTGTCTCGAACCGGTAGTGGGACGCCCGCCAGGGCACACAACCGACACGATTACTGGTTAACGTCTGACACATACGAAAGTATGGCTGCCGAATTAATTCCAAACAGAAACTTTGCGAACTGTAAAATGAGTCAGGAGAGATATCTTTGTAAATTAAAACTACCTAAATACTGCCATGCTTCTTTGTTGTAATACGTTTCTGTAAATATGTACCTGCTATGAAATAAAATGTGTAATAGACATATGAAAACCCTAATCAATCCACCACTTCTAAATAATGTACAATAATGTACATACAAATACATTTTTCGTTTGCATGTTCGACCACAACCAATATTTATCTTAAAATGACAATTTTTTTACGTTATGATTCACTTCAATCTTTGTGATATAACTATTATACATGTAGCTGGACCGAATGAGCTCAGCTCAAACCGGTTGGCAATCATTAAATATTGTCTTACTTAGCACCAGGAAACCGCGCCGTCCGGCTGCTAAGACATTTCCTGTGCTTTGTCTCAACATTACCACGACATAAGTTTTCAATGCAGTTTACAGAATCTGCTTGAAATAACATTAAAGATCTACCCACTATTTGAAATGACAGCAAAATATTAAAAATATATTATCACTTAAAAATTGTTTTTAGACAAACAAAAAGAATTAACCTAAATAAATAAGGCATTGCAACATAAATAAATGAAGTAACTTGGTCAAATAACTTAAATATTATACCAAACACCTACCTAGTTGTTTATCAACGTGCCATAACTTTTTTACTATTACTGCCATGATCACAATTACATATTTAATTCATAATAATATAAAAACAAAACAAGTGTGATCATGTCGCACCCGCGATTACTGTACAAACAAGGAAATAATGCGAGTTATTAAAAACTGGCGCGCTGACGTAATCCTATCGCATGGCGGGCACTTCCGCGTGCCCTAAGAATGCGAGCATAAACTATCGAAGATTAATATATCAGGTAATAAAAAGACAAATGCATTTTCTTAATTTTTGGCCGGACTCATAAGAGCATTTGCGGAAATATTGTTACATGTTGAAATGTTGTAGCACTTTTTATTTACATCAAAATAAGCTAAGTCTCACTCCCGAAGTTTTATCTCGGCAATATGTGAGGCGTTGCGGTGTAAGGGGACGGGGCCGCGGGGGCGGTCGGGGGCAGCCGGCGGGCGCGCGTCCATCCGCCCGCGCCGCCACCGCATCATCAGTCCGCGTCGGAGAGCTGCCCGCGACGCTCGTCTGCGAGTTCAATCCCTCAGATACGCTGCTGGTTTACGGTGAGCCGTAACACGACACGTTTGGAGGGACCGCTACGCGTGTGTCTGGTGCTTTGTGAACTTCGGATACTGTGTTTCTTGTGACAAGTGACAATGCATATGTGCTGATTTCTCCAGTCATCTTCTTTTAGGATTTTTGACGACGCAACTAGTTCCGGATCAGCTCAGCCGGTAAGTAGCGGTGCTTATCGCACACTGCGATATCGCGCACTCACGTATTTCCGACCGCGCCCGATAAGGACGGTGCCTCGTGATATAAGTTCAAATCCGGAGACGACAAATCCCTATCAAAAATTCACAATTTTTTTTTAACAAACTATCGACATTATTTCTTTATATAAAGAAAATAACTATATTAGAAGTTACTATTGTAAAGAAAGAAAAGTTTTTTCCAGTAAACTTATCATAGTTTTGTTTTACTAAGTTACTTAGCGAAATATATTTGAATACAATTTTTTTTTAAATTATGATCCTATGATTTTTTATAAGTAATTAACTTTATGCAACAACTTTATAAGTACATAAAGTTTTTACAATAGTATATTAAAAACTGAAACAGAGAATACGTGCGCCCTATGCTTATTTTTTCCTTTTTATTTATCCCCCTCTAATTTAACTCATCGCATTATAATACTCTCCCCCAAGTTGCAACTATTCTCCATTGATCCCTATTGAAATTGAAAGCAGCAGGTGACAGCCCTATATTTATCGCATAAAGAACGAGCTCTGTCACATCACCCTATTAATTAAAATAAGTAAATTATATTTTATCCTATTAATGATATTTTCAAACAGAATACGTCAAAATTTAATTTAAAAAAAAAATTATGGAATTCAAATAAAGTTGCATTCGATCTGCTTAGAAACTACTGTTCCATTATACTCGAGAACATATTGACACATTGTTTGAAATGTTGATATGCTTATCTACTTTGTGAATACAAATAGTTTTATAACTTTTAAAATATATGTGTGAGACCTATACATATATGAGTGCATATTTATCAAACTAGCAAAAATTCCGACAGTAAAAATAATAAATATATCAATTCTCGTTACTCTGGAAAAAATTGCCAAGTTGAGTTTTCATTACAACTGAATCGCACTATTGAAATGTCATCGGAAAAGACCAGACCAAATACATTTACATACCCAACCGTAAAGAACCGATATTTTATCAGCAAAAAGTAATATGTTACGCCGTTCATAATCATTACCTATTCATCATAGGCATTGCGATTTTGTTGACTAAACTGATGAAGACTGTAAATAAATTATCGCTTCTACCCCTTTACCGACAACTATAATAATGTTTTTCAAGAATACAAAAATCAAATAGCTAAATTAATATCAATTTGCCGTATTAATAATGGGTGTACGACTACACGAATTATATATCTAAGTATATTAATATATAAAAAAACGACTTCTGAAAAATAGTATACAGAAAAATGAAGTCACTTAATATTTAGTTAAAAAATATATTTATGATTGATTTTCTGATGTTTCAGATTGTCGTTATGAAAGTAGTCAGCCTACAACTGCCATCCGGGCCAAGTATGGAGCGACTGCCGCTGCCATTTAGCCCAACGGAACTTTTGTGGCGGTATCCCCTGCCATGGGCACCGCCACCACCCTCACCGCTCGGTGACACCAAAGCCCAACTGCCAGCGGGTCTTCCACCAGAACCCAGACTCTGGACAAGGGAAGACGTTGTAGTATTTTTAAAATGGTGCGAGAGGGAATTTGACTTGCCCAACTTCGACATGGATCTCTTCCAAATGAATGGTAAGCAGTGCAATGTGTAGTCACAATTTAGAATTCATATATATATATTTTTAATTAGCGAATTGAAGATCAATTTTCAAAATTCGTTCGTTCCTGAGAGAGCCTGATGGGATGGTCCCATAATTATTTTATCGAAATCAGATTTTTGCTTGTATATCAAAACGACTAGAAGTGTTCTGCTAAATAACAAAAGCACACAAGATATGTTAAATCAAAAGAAATGATAGCGTCTTTTTTGCTCTCCTATGATTTTTGTGAATATATAATATATATTATATTAATAAATAACTAATTAATAAATATAGTATTTTCATGAACATATGAACCGCCTTTAAGATGAGTACCACTATTTTTCACATTTTTGAAGCCGGTTCATTATATTTTTATATTTTATTTTGAAATGTGGAATTTTATAGGAAATCTTTTTGTTCACAGGCAAAGCGTTGTGCTTATTAACAAAAACAGATCTAGGCGAACGTTGCCCAGGAGCCGGTGATGTGTTACACAATGTTCTACAGATGTTAGTTCGTGATGCAGCACTTTTGGGAAGAGTCCCATCATCACCTGTAACACCAACAGCGCGCGCGGCTCCATACCCACCCTCGCCTCACTCTCACCCACCTACCCCTACCTGGGCTGTCGACGGCTTTCATCATTTTCATAGTGCTGCTGCCGCTGCAGCACAACCTAACTCCGTAACATTAAGTCCAGCTCCTTCAGTGGATAGCTCCGGAAGCCCACAACGTGGGGAATCAATGAGTTATGTGACGGCATATGCGCCTCCCGTTCCTGCAACAACCCAAGCTGCCAGTTCTGGAAGCAACCATTCGGATTCTGATGAAGAGGCTCAGTTTGCGCCACCACCTCGGTCACCTAAAGAAACCCCTCTTACGAGTCCAGCACCGCAAAACCACACAACCCAACACGGTCACTATCGCACGCAACACAGAGAATTCTTCCCTAATGATATGCCCGAGTCAAATACAAGTAAGTACTCAAATAAAATCAATGCTAATTAAAGCAGAAATGCATAAATACATCAGAGACAAGTAACTAACATTATTCTATCTCTTTTCAGATGGTAGACTTTTATGGGACTTCCTACAGCAACTTCTCAATGATCCTACTCAGCGATACACAAATTACATTGCATGGAAAAATAGAGATACTGGAGTCTTCAAAATTGTCGACCCTGCTGGACTGGCAAAACTTTGGGGCATTCAGAAAAATCACCTGTCGATGAACTATGACAAGATGTCACGTGCTCTTAGATATTATTACCGCGTCAATATTTTAAGAAAAGTGCAAGGCGAGAGGCACTGTTACCAGTACGTATTAACATCTATTTATAATATTTTATTATAGATGTTTTTAGAATTTTATATTAGTCAACTAATTCAAATGTTATCAATGATCAATCAGTACAGTATGCTTATTAATCGCTTACATTTACAAAGAAATTGTCCTTTATATGTGTTAATGTGTAAGTCTTCCAAGTCTATTCTTCCAATATTACGGTTCTTTTACGATACTCCGTGTGAACAATAACAATCAATTGATAATCTATGTAATTTTGATGTTTTTCTGAAACGGTTCATACGTTTCAATGAATCATATCAATTAAATCAAAGTTTAAAATTGTTTATCATATATCTAAAACTCATCTTGCTCTTTGTCTATTTCAGGTTTCTCAGAAACCCTACAGAATTAAAAAATATCAAAAATATATCTCTGTTACGTCAGCAAATGAGCCCTACAAGAGTGGCTCAACAACCAGTGGTAAAGTCGGAAATGAAAGAGGAACGTTGCGACGATGAACCAGTTGACGAAGATATGCCAACAGACTTAAGCATGGCGGCGTCAGAACCATGGCGAAAACGTGCGCGACCCGATCCCGCAAATATTCCATCCCAGCATGACAAGCATCGCATCAGTACCCTCATTGGGGATAACTTAATATTAAAACGTGAAACTGATTACAGTGCAGAAAGTTACGCACTGAATCTCAGAAGTGATAAGTGTGAACAATGATCATCAATTATTAACAAAAAGGGACACTTTCAGTGCAGTACGTCTTTATGTGTATAATATAGGATAAGTATTATTAAAGATGTGCAACGACTCCACTCCACCTACTAAAACTCTAGTCAATTTTCTCTCAGAACCATTAATTAATAAAAAAAAAAATCCTCCTGACAATTTGTATGAATATACATTAAATTTCAAACAGCTAGTTATAATAAACTGAGAGACATTGAGGGATTTAGTTAGGTTTCGGATATTTTAGGAGTTCACAGGGTCTGGACCTAAAATGATGCCTTTGTGCCAAGTGATTTTATTCGATAGTGTCAATTTCCCAAATATATCAAAACATATAAGAGTTTATATGTTAAGTCGTAAGACTATTTTAATGTTTTGTGCAATGGACTACTAAAATAACTGCGAAGATATCGCAGTAGCATGTTTTTAAAGGTTGCCAAAAGTGTCTGTGCGTGCTAATAACTAAGTGTTCACGCGCTCATTCATGCATTTTGTAATTTAATTAGTTATAAACTTTGAATATATTTTTGTTTAATTTCTGAAAATAGTAGATATAAAATTGTTAAAAGAAAATATCAGAAACCAACTCCATCTATCAAGTTTATAAAAGATAATTATCGTCTTCCATGGTTTCTTTTTGATTAATCGTTTCAATTGTAGCAAATGTTATATAAAAAAATATTATAACATAAATATAAACTACCACGTTTATTTCTGAACTACCTACGAATATTTTTAATATAAATTCCATATTTAAAATTAGCAGCATATAAAATTAAATATAGATAGTTAAAACTATTTTGGGATCTTTGCTGCTATGGTATTTGGAACAAAAAGACAATAACGAACAATCTTCTACCTAAAAATGCCTTGAAAACTACAAGAAAACGTCCACTGTGATAAAAATATAAAGTGGTAGAAATATAGAGTATGCTAGAGTTTTTACTCAAAGATTTCCAGCTACAATTTTCTGTGATCTCTTTTATCAATATAGGTAAATGTCATAGAGTTACTTAGTGAATTAGAAATTTTGTAAATATTGACTATGGTTAATTATAAGATAGGATAAAAACAGACTGTAAAGAGAGTGTATGTATGATTTGTATAACAAAGTGGAGCTTTATCAAAGTACCTAGTATATAGTAAGAATTACAACTGAGTTTGTATTTTTACAATAATTTCTATTTCGGCGAGTGCATGCCATAACTTCCAACTTGTTGAACACAATATATAAAACATTTTGTTTCTTATAAATTGTGTCAGATTTATTATAACTTTAAATAAATGAGAATAATGTTATCCGAAAATTTGTTTCATTTTATGTAAATTACATAATTATTGTCAAAAAATATCAAATTTCCGCAATGGAATGGTAATAAATAATCTAATCATATACTTTTTCTAATTCGCTTACAAATCCGTTTTTTTTTTTGCTAACTTCGTCGACATATAACGTCTACAACATATAAATAGATCATATTTATGCTACATTTATTTGAGTACGAACCCCAACCCTATGGTCGAGGTTAGTTAAGTCATAACGAAAAAAAACCCGAATGCGTGAAAACAAAAGAAAGAATTGAATAAAAATATTTAATTTCTTTTAAATACTACCGAATAACTGCTCCACTGAAATAGTTTTAAAATCTATACACACATAAAACATATCATAAATTCAAAAGCAGAATAGAAGGACAACAGTCAGGACCCGCTCCTTTTTGACCAATCAACAAAGCCCCGTATAATTTGAATGGGTCCCGACTGTTGATCCTTCTATTTTGCTTTTGAATTTATATGTTTTATATGTGTATAGATTTTAAAACTATTTCAATGGAGCAGTTATTCAGTATTACTTAATAACATTCCAAACTACGGGGCTTCTTTTTAGTTTTTAGTGAAAGTAATTATATATTCTTTCACTTCTTTATTTTGTTTTCACGTTTTTGTTTTACTAATATTATAAATGGGAAAATTTGTGATGTCATGTTATCACAATATGTCAAATTTCCGGAATAGATTTTTAACTATACCTTCAATATATTCGGATTTAAAATCAAGTAGGAAAATTTTAGTTTTGTATAACGTAAAGTGCTGTTCACTGTATTTTTATTACTCTTTCACGCAATAACTAATTAACGGGTTTGGATGAAATTTAGTACACGGATAATTCTATTCCTAAATTAATCTGAATTTTAATCCCATTACACAGTTCCCTAGAAAAACTTTCGATTCATCGTATAAACCACGTGGGCGAAGTCGGTAGCGGTTTGCTAATAATGACATAATTTAAAAACAATTAAAAATACATAATAACAACAATATCATTCTCTCGCCAGGGAAAATATAGGATATGGAAGAGTGACTGTTGTTATTACCAAATGTTCATCTGTAGATTTGCGTGCGCTTAATGCAATTGGATAATCCTGCTCAAAGAACCATTTTATGTCATTTGGGAAAAAGGCTTTTTATATTACATGTAAAATTTAGTTCACAAAAACTTTTATTTTATATTACATATTAACTGCTTTTATTGTTACTGAAGCCAAAAATTACAATATTTTTCTTTTTATATACAATATCTTATAGACCACAGAAAACCAATATTCCAACTGTCATGATGATGATATTCTATTTTTACTATAGAATACATAACTATAGTGTATGTAATTATTGTTAGGTAAGATTGATGTTTTTGTTTCTGTATCAAAGAAAATATACATATTTGTTTATACTGAATGTTTTAAGAGTGTTGAATTTTGACTGTTGTAAATTTTGATATATAGGTTATAAATACTTATATTTCACAATATTCAATATTGTAACTAACATGCCAGTTTTTGACTAGGTACTTATGTCATTATAATAAAAATTGGCATAATTGTGAGAATACTTACAAATTAAAATTTTAGAAATTTATTAAATAGTAACTCACACATTATTTTATAATTATGGAAGGTTCAACTTGTATAAAACTGAACCAAATACTTCTTATGACAATTTAAAAATAGAATATCTGCTTTTCAAGAGAGAGAGTATAAGATAGCTTATACTAATAAACTATTCAAAATTTAATAAGGTTTTTTTGTTGTTGTAGATTCTTACAAACTATTTGCCAAACAGTAGGAATTTGTTGGAACTTTAAGGTTATGAAATATTCATAGATTGTTACTAAGTAACATTATTTAAACTATAAGTTGTTTTACAAGTATGCGATAATTTTTATTTCACTTAAAATAACTCAAATTTATAACTCATTCTTTTCAATTTTCTGATGGAGGGTTTTGGAAGAATATAACATCATCTGCTATTACAGTTGAGGCAGATCTTACTTGTCCATCATCTAATTTCACTTCTCCATATGATAGTTTTCCTGTGACATAAACTCTTTGGCCTTTTTTTAGGTATTTGTAAACTGTATCACGTAGCCCTGGCTTAAAAATGCTTACTCTATGCCAATCAGTCCTTTGTAGTATGTCTCCTGACTCATACTTGTAACTAAAATGGGTTGCAAGGGGGAAATTTACCACAGGATGCTCCTCTGACCCACGTTTTTGTGGATCAGCACCAACTCTCCCCAATAGTGTTACTTGATTTATTGCTGCAATAAAATACAATAATCAGTGCTTAAACTGCTCATTTTAAGATGTTTACAATATCATATAATTTGGGGCCCTTTTAGACATATTACATAATAAGAGACACCAACATTACTTACTCTTTTCTGTTTTTTGATTTTCATTGACTACTGCTGTTGTATTGATTCCGCATTGTTGTAGCCGTATTAACTTGCTTAGTGTTCTTATAAACTGTGAATCAAAGATTTAAAACTTAATTACTTAAAATAGCAGTTTTAAAACTTATATGATAGATAAAAATCAATTTAAAATATCACAAAATTTAGATGCAAAGACAATAGTAAAGTTTAGTAATCTTAAAATATTAATTATTAAGTGATTACGAGTACTTACCCCCCATGCAAAATAAAAACATGCATGATGTACAAATCAGGTTAGAGAATGTTGCATTACGAAAATTATAAAAAACGATGATTTATTGTAAGTATAAGTAGCTGTTAGTAAGCAGAATATAGAAATAATGATTACACACATTGGAATACGATAAGACCAGTTAGTTAACAAACTTATTATACACTTACCTGTAAGTTAGAAATCATTCTTCTAGCAAGTTCCTAGGTATTACAAGATATTTGTACTACACACAAAACCTGTTCGAAATTAAAAGAAAACTTTTCACTGTAGGTTTTCCAAATAAAAATAAACATAAAATCTTACAAGCTAACTTACAAAAAGGTTATTTTTTAATGTTTACTAAAGAAGAGTATATAAGAAAAGAACAGATTAGTACTTATTAATTCTATGCAGATTATATAGTTTTAGTTAGTAGAAAACAAAGAGTAAAGAGTTTAAGTTAGTAGAAAACAAAGAGTAATAATAAAATAAAAATAATCATGAAATTAAAGTTTTATGCGGGCGACCGACATCTATAAAGTTACATTTACAAAACGTTCTACAAGAGTGAATTTTTGGGTCTGTCTGACTTGCTTTAGCTGACAACACGGATTTCTCATCTTAGAATCTGAGCAACGCAAACAAATATTTATTTATTTACTTTTTACTTATAATATTTTTGTTTCTCATTGTGTTTTTAATGGTAGCATTCAAATAGCATTATTGATAATGGCTACATTGCTTTTAAATCATAGACTTATATTAGCTTTGAAATAAATAAAAATACCCGTAAAGCGGGTAATTTTGTTGTTTTTATTTTTTATCATTCACTTTCGCTGACTATCTATTACGTGTTTGTTTTAAGAATCTATCTTTTAGGTTATCTAAAATTTTGTCACTTATTCACTGTTTATACGTGATTCATAAGTTAAAGAATCATGTCCAATTTTGTAAATGAAACAACTTTTAAACGGTTTTATCACGTTTGTATTCAGTTTTAGACGTTTCGAACCCTTTACACGTTCCGTGTTCACATAAGACTAAGTTGTTAATTATCTTTTTTAATTAAAAGTATAGCTGCCTTCAGAAAACGAATACTACTGGACAGCCGTTGGTATATGCCAACAGATGAAGGTTAGCATATACCACCGGCTTGGGATCCAATATATAAAAAATATTGTATTGTGAATATGTCCAATAGTATTAGTTCAATTTCCATACATCAATTGATCAGTCACATAGTTTTTTCGAAAAGAATTCGAAAGCAAATAAATTCTTTCAGAGAGGATCATAAACACAAATGAGACTTATTTGAAATAAAAAAAAAATCTTGTGTTTTTGAGAAATAGTATCGTAAAAAGAACTGTATCAAATAAATAGATGAATCTTCTATGAATTATTTATTTATACTTTAGTATTACAAAAGGAATGGCTATGTCGTTATTAACCATGATCAAATTTTGCTAACATTGCTAGTGAAGTTTCGAAAAAAACTAAATGTGCTTAATCCAACAACTGGAGATGCAGCAATGCAAACCACACAAGGATTCTAAGAAACATGTGGATTAGTTATTATTCAAATAAAAATCAAACATCTAAATTTGTTTAAATGGTTAAAAATCAACCTCGTGATTGTAATAAAAAGCCTAATAGGGTAATGAGGAAGTATTAAAAAAAAGAAAGCACTAAAAAGCACCTTCGAAACGAACTGTCACCTGACGAGACAGTCATTTCCGTTCCTTTTAACTAACATATTAAAAACTGAAATTTGAAAAGTTCTAAACTTAGATATCAATACAAATACAAAAAACTACAAATAGAATATGAGTTGCTTATTGAGTTTTGAAAACTAATTTACTTTTAAACATGAAAGAAAACCGGAAGGGTTGTCATGGAGAAATCAAGAACGTACCGTAGCGACATCTAGTTTGATTTCGGGAACTACTCATTAATACATAAATATAACATTATACATAATATACTTAACATTATTCATGCAAACATAATTCTACTTGAATTATTTATGTTTCAGGGGCCTTATAGGGGCCAGAGAAATACTCTGCCGTGATTATTGTTAAACTATGGCATAAAGTCAACTGGCTGGCAAAAAATGGATTAACTTTTATTATTATTAACTTTAAACCCAAAATTGCAGAAGGAGCCGTTCATAGAAGTGCATTTGCACTATTTTGAGCTTCTGGATTTGAGCAACTGGTGTAAACGAATAAAATAATTGTTACTTTATAGGGAATAAATAATTCATAATTTTTAATGTAAGTTTTTATCCTGTATAAATATAACTACAAAATGCGATGTACCAGCCGTCCAAGCTCGGTTTGTTAGTAATAGACCTCTTTGATTCAGGCTTTTCCGAAATATGACGGTTTTTTCTAAATAACGCAATTTTTGACGCATTTTTAGTTTATTTTTTAACTTCTATGTTCTTAAATGAACTGAACTTGTGTTCCAAAATTCTCATATTGCAGTATTAAGAGATCCGTGCCCTAGCGCCCCGTCGACCTTGTAGATAATAAAACAGTTTTGTTTTATTTAAATTCTGTACGAGTTAGCAAGTCTTTTTTCTTTGATCGGGTAAAACAAATATTAAACTAGCAATACTGACATGACCTTCATGTCTTGCTTGTCTACTCTGTTCTCTCTGTCTCTCTTTTGTCTATGCTATACCTAATCCAGGAAAAGTTGTTGCCTGTGAAGGATGCCTTCAGCTGCGAATGCAAAATCTGAAAAGCCAGCCTCTTCGGAGGCTATGGATAACTCACCAATACGACAAATCGTGACAATTCTTGAACACAAAATCAGGAATTTGGAGAAAAGGAAGGTACGTTGTAGTTGTTTCTATTAGCATATAAAAATTTGAACACGCATGTTACAGGTAATTGATAAGACATTTTAGCAGTTATAGCTGTTTAATACCTATCTACAGAATTTCAAATTAATGTGTTTTCCGATATTAACTATTTCAATTGTATCTACGAAACTGGTTGTATGTGTACTCCGTATGTAAATAAAGTTTCGGCGAACCGTTGACGCCATTTTCACACATGTGCTCACTGCAATGTTGACGAGACAACAATGACGCCCAAAATGTTTTCATATGTATTGGCATTTCCCTTATAATCTTATTATTAGTTTATAATTACTATTATATTCGTCATTATAGCAAAATCATTATTGGTCTTTATCCTTGTTATTCTAAATTATCCAATTGATCTGTCAACTGCGTTTTGAGTTTGGCAAATAGAAATATAGGAAGCTGAATTTATATTGGCTGAGGCATGGAGGAAAATTTTTAAAAAGTCCTTATAATAAGTATTGTTTAGACTACCTACCCAAATAAGCGTCTGAATGATGTCAAAAAAAAATATATTTAAAATAATACTGAAAACACACTTAATACCAACTTTAAATCACATCAAATTTCAAAAGGTCAATATTGATCCCGAAGTCTTTGATTTTGCTGTTATTAATAACCAAGCAATATAGATGAGTTAAATCTGAATCTTCTAAAAAAATATTATGTCTGGTTTTTAATCAGAGCAGTTATGGATTTTTGGACTAAGTCATATTAGCTTTAACACAACATTGTTTTTGTAATTGTGTAATTATTTGTGCTCTTTTTATCATCCAAAAAGAAGAAAACATAAGACCAATCAAAAGTTGTTTTATTTTTTGGCTATAATAATTAAATTAAGAAATATCTCAAATGCTTTTTAATTAAAAACTATTTATAGTGCTTATTAACATTTATTTTTATAAATTGATAAACAATATTATCCAAAATTATGAAAATATTCTTATAATGCTTCACAAAATGAATAACATGTGCAATACAGTTTATTAGCTAAATGAATTAGTTGAATGCAGTGTCTGAATATTGCATATTATTTAATACTAGTTTTCGCCAGCAGCTTCGCCCACATGGTCCCTAGGGAAATGTTTATTGAGATAAAAATTATCCTATTATCTAAGTTAACTAATACCCTATCTGTATAGTAAATTTCATCAAAATCCATTCAGTAGTTTCAGTGTGATTAACGGACAAACATCCAAACAAATAAACTTTCACATTTACAATATCAATAGGATAATGCTATAGATGTGGTACTTTGTTAAATTAAAGATTTTTTTGGTTTAGAGTAAGCTGACATCTTATCGTGATTTGCAAAAAGCTGGAAAAGAGCTCAACTCTGATCAAAAAGTTGCAGTAGCAAAGTATGATGAAGTCGCTCAAACCTTGGAATTTGCAAGAGATCTTGCAAAGCAAGTTACATCAATTGTTACAGCAGCAGAGCGTGATGCCAAAAAACAAGCAAAGAAGGTATTCATCCTTTTTTTTTCTTTTGTGATGTATTATGCAAACAGTGAAGATACTATGTACAGATGTTGATGCTGGTAAGCAAACATAGTTGCAAAACCAAATTGGTATTTAGAGCAGAATAAGTTGTGATTTTTTTCAAAAATTCTTATGGACTTCCAATGAAACAGCAGACTTTCAATGTTAACGTTGATAAACACGAAAGTAAGATTTTTAATATAAATGTTAAAAAATCTGCACTATAAAGCACTTTTGGTTTTGCAGGTTACTACATGTTTGCTTTCCAGTGTCAATGTATTGTTAGAAGTGTATTTGACAGTGAGAGTAGTTTCCTCATTAGAAAAGTCTCTTAAGTTCATTGGATAATTTGCTTTTTCCATTTCATTCACATGAATGATAAGACAATCATTTTGATGCAGACTTGGAAATGGGTATTTCAATTGAAATCATGCATATTATACTTAAAACAATTATGAAATGCAATCAAAACTAATTACAGTTTTTAAATATTTTTTACTAGTTTGGATATCCTAGATTAAAAATCGGTCTGTGTTTGAATGATATGGATTCTCTAAGGATCTGTAAAGGAAAAATTTATTATCCATAAGTTTTTTCTTATAACTTAGTATCAATACAGCATGTTTAAAAATAAATGAAACTACTTTTAAACATGATTCATCATGTTTGTATTCATTAATGGATAGTGTGCGTGAAAATATAATGTGCATGATAATCAATACGTTTACAAAGACTTTTTCTTTCAAATTTAAATATTTTAATAGTATTGAAACAATTGTAGGATGTACAAATGTTGACACTAATCAGTCATCAACCTCTGCATACAATATAATGAGTAGCAACATCTATAACATCATTATTATTTTTTCATTTTTTTTTAATTCTGCTAGAATAAAAAAAGGTATGTTAATATGATTCAACAAACACTTAAATTTAATGTGCCATTCCTCAGTTTTCCCTGTCCACAGTTCCATGTTTTATGGCAGAGTGGAGTAATTAAGATATATTTTACTCTCAGGAAGCTTGGGTGCGTTATGCAGCAGACACCAACAAAATCCGAGAAGTTCTTCTGATACTTGATTGCCTAACCCAAATGGGCAACTCTGAGGCCAGGGATGACTTTCTGAATGGAACCAATGGAGCGACGAAGCTCTCTGAAGAGGACTTAAAAATTTTGGATGACTTGTAAGTATATGTCACAACCACAAAATTAAAGTTAAAAATCACATCAATATCACACCTCAGCTACCTGTCAATGCATACATTTATTTCTATTTAAATATTTAAAGAATAAAGGATTATTTTGGATTGAATATTAAAATCAGTATCTTGGTCTTTCTTAGGTAGCCATTATATATATTTAACTTTATAATCAATTTTTACACAATAATGTTCCATACATTACAGTTGATTGATAGCAATGGGATATCTGTTTCATTATTAAATATATCAACCAAATCCATATTTTAATGAAATTATCATAGAAATTAGAAATACCAAAGGAACTCTGAAATACCCAGATAGTATATAAACCGTCAGTTACTGGCTTTTCTTAATTCAAACCACCTTCTTAATCCATTTCAATCCGGCTTTCGTACTGGCCATAGCACTACTACTGCATTGGTAACGATTACTGATGACATTCGACGAGGGGTGGAAAATCGTCAGCTTACGTTGTTGATGTTGTTAGATTTTAGCAATGCCTTCAATACGGTTGATTTTGACATCCTTCTCGGTGTTATGACTTCTCTCAACATATCTCCAGCTGCAATTGCCTGGTTTCGAAGTTACCTGCTAGGACGCCGGCAGAGGATCCACATTGACGAGTCCGTCTCTACGTGGTGCGATATCAAAGCTGGTGTTCCTCAGGGTGGCGTCTTATCTCCTCTTCTCTTCTCTATATTTATAAATTCCATAACTGAATTACTTTCTTGTTCCTATCACCTCTATGTCGATGACCTTCAAATTTATACCCAAGCGCCTTTTTCGCACTTATCAGAGGCAGTCTCAGTAATAAACTCTGACCTGTCTCGCATTAGTAAATGGTGTGATTCATACGGTCTTACTGTGAACCCCTCATAAACTCAAGCGATTCTAATTGGCAGTTCTCATTACATTTCTAGAGTTAGTTCCGAGTTGCTACCTTCAGTAATTTTCAACGGATTTGTAATTCCCTATTCAAAAACAGTTAGAAACCTTGGCGTCATCTTCGATCAAAATCTTTCTTGGAAGCCGCAGGTGGAGGCCATTAGAAAAAAGGTATTTGCCACGTACTATTCACTAAATAGACTACGCAACTTTTTGCCTACTAGAACTAAAGTCTCTTTAGCGTATTCGTTATTATTATCGATCATAGACTACGCTGATGTTTGATACACGGATCTATCAGAGGAACTTCTTAACAAATTGGAGCATCTGCAGAATATTTGTATCCGATTCATTTTCAACCTTCGTAAATTTGACCATGTGTCGAATTTTCGTTCCAGATTGTCTTGGCTCCCTATTCGCCGGCGCAGGGACTTACATACTTTAAAGTTACTATATTCTATACTTTTCCTACCTTCCTCTCCACATTATCTCAAACAATGTTTCTCTTTTCGTTCTTCTTTGTCACTGAGTTCCTTGCGATCCTCATCCAACCTCACTTTGGACATCCCGCGTCATACTTCCGATTTCTTCTCCTATTCCTTTTCTGTACATGCTGTGCGTTTATGGAATTCTCTCCCGGAGGATGTCAGGAACAGTCGCTCACTAAATTCTTTCGGCGATCGAGTTGAAAGCTATTTCCTTTCTCTATGCTAATGCTATTTACTTATACTTTCTTATTTAAAATGTATGTAATATATGTGTAAGATATATCTTATCCCTTCTGACTATTGCACCCAATACCCCATATTTTCCCTTTCCTTTTATTATTCTCCTCCATAGGTTGCCTGGAAGAGATCGCTGTTTAGCGATAAGGCCGCCTTTTGTGTACTCTGTATTGTTTACCGTGTAATTTCGTTTTGTTTTCCTGTCTGTATGTGAGCAATAAAGATTATATTATTATTATTAATTTCCAGTATTTACCAATGTCAGAAAACCTACAAAATTAGGATACTATCTTATAGTGAAATACTTAAGGCCTCACTAGTTCCCTCAAACTGCCAATTATCACATTGGAACAATGACAACAAAGCAAAGTGTAACTAATAAACAAAGTGTAACTGTAAATTTCATAATATATTTTTAGGTATCCTGAAGTGACTCCAAAGCATGAACTGAATGAAGAGGGCAAATCAGCATTTCACAATCAAACAACTAAAGCTGCTGAACACTTGTATGCAATCATCGATGGGAAGCCTAAAGAAGTCTTAGGAACAACATACAGCCACATAAAGGAAATTGTGACAACAGTGCATGAATGTGGATATTTCGACCGTATATTAGAAGCAACAGTCGAAGTAGAGGAAAATCAGGTTATCATACAAGAGGAAGAATCACAAGAACCAGTTGAAGAAGAAATTGAACAAGTGAATGCTGTTTACCCACCAGCTGGAGCACTCCCAGTGCCTCCCGCGCCAGCGGTCGTTCCTGCGCCTGCTTATCCTTTACGCCCTCTGCCACCCATGACGTTGCAGGAAGTCGAGCATGCCTACTTCTCACAATATCCCCAACAGAGACCTATCACAGAAGTAATAGGATCACAGAATTTCTTCTTCCTACAAGAGTCTGAAATCGACAGCCCGGTCGGCACGCCCCAACCCCCACCAATCCCCAATCAACCATCTCCGCCAGGACCGATACCCACACAGACGTTCACAAACCAACACTTCGTACAGTTGCCAGGTGGGCGAGTTCCCGACGGAGCCGGTCTACCGATGCCGCCGCAACCACATTTCCCTGCACATCCCGATCACTCAGGGTTCCCTCCCGGCGCAGGCGTACCTATGCCGGCCCCTCTGCCCCCTCACGCCGCACACATCGCTCCGATCCCAGCCGGACATCCAGTGCCGCAAATGGCGACTCCGCAAGCCGTTCAGCCGGTATCCGTATCGGTACCGCTCTCTGCACCGGCTCAGGTTCAAGTTCCCGCCACGTCTGCTGCTGCAGCTGACATTTCTCTATCTACCGCTTCGAACCAATCGGAGGATCGTAGCCCGCCGCCGCTCGTCGAAGATAAAAATGATGACGAATGGAAGGAGAGCCGTAGCCCCGAACACGAGGAAGGCGGTGAACGCAAGACGCAAGGTCAAGGCGATGGACAGAACAGATTCAGACGGTACGGGCGAGGAGGCGGCCGGGGTGCTCCCAACGGCCACCGTGGACGCGGCACTTTCTCCGGCAGACAGGGCGGTGACAACTACCGCGCTCGGCACACTGGCGACTACCAAAATAGACCGAACAAGGATGGCTATCAGAACAGACAATACGACGGCTATCAAAACAGACACAAGGACGGATATCAGAATCGTGCTGGCGACGATGGATACTATGGCAACGGTGACGCTGGCGATCACCGCGATCACGAGAACGGTGGTCGCGACCGATACGGCGACAACTCTCAGAGCTACCAGGGCGGATTCAAGAGCCGCGGCAGGGGCGGGCCCCGTGGCGGGACGCGTGGAGCCTCGCGTGCCCCCCGACCCCACCAGTATAATCGCAAACCGGAAAACGTTGAATAGTTCACGTGGAACGCGACGATGTGCTGCATCGTTAGCGACTTCGTCATATAAATTATTATACTTATCCTATGATGGACAAAATCATTCGTGGAAGGCAGATTTCACCGGCAACAACGTGCTGTGGTAAACAACAAACAGAGATTATGGTATAAAAATTTATAAAAAAAAATTATAAAAAAAAAGTAAAATATTAAAACATGAAACTCAATAAAAAATAAGTTACTTGAATTTAGATGTATGATATATTGCAATTATTATAAGTTACGTAATTCTAGATTCTTGTATAGGTTATGGTCACACAAGTGACTATTGACGCGGTGTATGTAGAGCGACCGGTCGCGGCAACCGTGTGTCGCTCAGTACCTCTTGCGTGCCTCGCGTCCTCGTGATAATTTAAGTACAGGAGATGCATACTACTGACAAATACATTGTCTACCGGGACCCTTTCCAAATCGCATTGATCTTTGTACTTTAATACGGTTTATTTTAATGGTAATTATTAAGACATACTATGCACATTATTTTCGTCAATCCAGTAAAAGTAAACTTCTTTATATGTTTTTGCTTCTATTAAGCGTAAATTTTGAGAATACTTGTTATTTTTAATAATGTCAAAACAATTGATGTAATCATTTTGAAATGTGACCAAACAAATCGTATGTCATCTTTTAATTTACTGGCCATATTTTAATTAATTTAATGTCGCTGTGAAGTGCTTTAATTTTGTGTTGTCCTGGCTTTCTCACATTCATAACATTGTTCTCAATAGAGGCTGTGTGCAAGCAAATTAAAAGTATTCTACAACATATTATATTTGTTTTATTAAATATAATTTATGGTCTCACGGTCAGTTGTACAAACGTCCATTAAGGTTTAATGACGCCTTTAAACTCTAATTAATGTCAATTTTTTATTGTCACTTTAATGAAACTAATGAGAATTTAAAACTACGTGTTTTCGCACATGATGACTTGGTGAAGTTAGATGTGTTTCATCAATATTTTCGTCAATTGTTGACCGATTTTCAAGATTCTATTAATTCCATCTTGATGGATCAAGTAGTTTTCCTTCAACAAACCAATACGCTTTTCAACCAGTGATGGGAAAATTCCCGGGCGTTTTGGGCGAATTGGGTTTTTTCCCGATAAGCGCCACATAAATTCCCGCCCATTGGGCGTTTATATTTTTTAACCAAATTTATCAACTAATTAACTCAGTTGTGTTTTGTTGTTAAATATAAGAAAATAAACATTACGAGTACAAGTTTAAGAAGATGCACGATGATAAAAATACACAAATCTATACAAAAAAAAATATTTTTTATTCAATGACTGATTTTTCATCGCCTAGCATAAACTATAACAGTGCTATTAATAAACAAGGTTTAGCGTTGGAGTAAATTTACGTTAAAAATTGCAATTTTAGTATTAGTCCAAACTCATACTACACAGATAATAAGCAAACCTACTACATTCTAGGAGTAAAAATTAGTCCCCTAGATCCTCGTACTAGGTAAACCTTTGCTAGGTCTCTGTTTAATAATATGAATTTTGACTAATACTGAGTGCTGTCTCAGCGTTAATTTACTCCTTGTTTATTTATTAATAACACTAATAAAAGTTTCGATCTCTATGTTCTGTGGTTTTGATCAATAGATCCTTAGTCAGTAAGAGTTATTCGTGGAGAAAACACTCACTTCGAAAGGTTTACTTAAATTCAATCCCAGGGGATAGGAATAGGGGTTAAAAGTTTGTATGAAAGTATTCGTTTTAAAGTTAGAAACATCTTTTTAATTTTTACAGTACATATAAAAAATGAGTTTTAGCGATTGTGGAAATTCCACCTTTCAAGGGTTGAAAGTTTATGTAGAAGTATATAATTTTTTATATTAGAGACGTGAAACTTTTTTTTGAACCACTGATCATTAAGCTATTAAAAGTTTTACGTCGCTAATATAAAAAATGACGAACTTCCATGTAAACTTTCAACCCTTCAAAAGTGCAATTTCCACTAATTTCAATAACTTGTATCTTACGGGTCATATATAGGTTTTTAATTTCCTACACAATATTGCGTAAATTGTAATATGCTGTGTAGTGTAAAAAACATATATATTATTAACGTAAATAATATTTTTAATTCACACAGTTGGCGGTTAAAAAATAAGCCTCAAAATAACTAAAACCATTTTCACATCATCAAAATAAAATACGAGGGTGGATTGAAAAGTTCGCGGCCTAACACATAAATACTTAAACTATTTTAATGTAACTGACCTCATTCGATTAGTTAACTCTCGGGTTATCAAATTGTAAAATTCTATCGCAATAGCATTAACTGAATTTAAATTAGACTGAATTTTGTGAGCCTTTGTGCAGCAATTTTAAAGAATGGAGAAAATTGAGCAACGTTTCGTCAACAAATACCTGTTAAAAAAAAAACTAACTCCAAAAGAGATTCACGAAGATATGTCAACAACATTGGGGGAATCTGCTCCGTCGTATACGACTGGGAAAAGTGGGTTGTTGAATTTAAACGCGGACGAGAGAGTATTTGACCCTCGCTCTGGCCGGCTGATGACGTCTACGACTGAAGAAAACTTCGGGAAAATCTGTGATCTGATATTAACAGATCGAAGATTGACCATCAGAGAGATTGCAGACACTATTGGCATCTCGTATGAACGAACACAAGACATCATAGTCAATGAACTTGGATTTTCTAAGATTTCTGTGCGGTGGGTACCCAGATTGCTTTCAGTCGAACAAAAACGAATATGCCTCACGATTTCTCGCGACTGTTTGGAAATGTTTGAGGCTGATCCACAAGATTTTTTATCCAGATTTGTAACAATGAATGAAACTTGGGTACACCACTACAATCCAGAGTCAAACAGCAATCAAAGCAGTGGAAAAAACGTGATGAACCGACTCAAAAAAAAAAGCCAAAACAATTTTGTCAGCTGGCAAAGTAATGGCGTCAGTTTTTTGGGATGCTAAGGGTGTCATCATGGTGGACTACCTTGCAAAAGATGAAACTATGAACTCGGCTTATTACTGTACCCTATTACGTCGTTTGCGCGAAACAATAAAGGAGAAAAGGCCAGGATTACTCAGCAAGAAAGTGTTGTTCCATCAGGATAATGCACGCGTTCACACACGTTTTTTCTATTTCTACCAAACTAGCTGTTTCCCCGGGACTTCGCCTTAGTAAATTATAGCATATGTCCGCCGCGTATCAGGTTTCCCTTAGATGAAAAACATATAAATCGGTCCAATAGTTTCGGTGCCTAACCAATGCAAACAAACAAGCAATAAAATCGTTTCTCGTTTAAATATGTATATAGATTATTGGAAAAAAAATATCGAGCAAATAAGCAAAATCTATTCTAAGACTTACGTTTCATATTTTTATTTACATAAATATTTAATATTTTAGGATTATTATACTTATAAAAAATATCAATATCACTAAAAAGCATGAAATAAAAACTTTTTTAAAGACTTCAAATTTAAAAAAAGTGGTAAATAATACTTATCTCAAAAGCGACATAATCAAGATAATGCTATTGAAGTCGGGCGCCTATCAAAATTAATTACCGACAGAAAACCTTCGCCCAACTTCAATAGCATTTTCTTGATTCTACATTTTATAAAAAGTTCTTATTACGTAAGTTTTATTAGTATAAATACTTTCACATGTATTGCCCCTGTCGGAAATGCTTCAGGCGCACAATAGATGGAAGCACTGAACACTAATTTGTGGTTTCATCATTATAAAGCTGAAGAGTTCGTTTATTTGTTTGTTTGAATGTGCTAATCTCAGGAACTACTGGTTCAAATTGAAAAAATATTTTTTTGTTGAATAGACCATTGATCGAGGAAGGCTTTAGGCTATATAACATCACGCTGCAACTATTAAGAGCGAAGAAATAATGGAAAACGCGGACGAAGTCGCTGGCGGCCACTAGTACTAAATAACCAACAACGGCTCTTACAGCGAGAGTAACAATAAGGTAACCTCGAGTTGTGGACACAGCAATGCACTAAAATTGGCACATCTCCGGAGCAGTGGTTCGTACTGCGGTTTCAAGGTGTCGCCATCTCTAAGGTCCCGGGTTGGATTCGCAGTCGAGCTCAATGTAGAAAATGAACTTTCCTATAATTGTCTTGGGACTGTGTGTTATGGTACTTTTGTTGCCTCTGATACTCCATAATACGAGAGATTTAGCAACTCATCTGGAATCTGAGCAAAGTATGTGGTGTCTAATGTTTATTTATTTCATGCCGTTAGGGGTCCGTTAATCGGTGAATTCTCTAGACGGGCAAGCCTGCAGACATGCCTGCCAGATCTCGTTTAGCATACATAGAGCGGGCATATTTTACTAGTGAAACACCGTCGCAGTCATGACCTAATAGTAACGAGGTCGTGCAGGCATGTCTGCAGACTTGCCCGTGGGCATATCCATCTAGTGAGAGGCTCTAGTCTGTCAAAGCACTTTCCGAAATTTTGAAATGAATGTTTACCCATCAAGTCCTTAATTTACTTGAAATAGCAAAGAAACGTCGTACGTAGCCGAATCATTAAATATATTTTGAAGCTGATGAATACACCAAACAATTGTAACTGATATTGTGAGACTCCTAATTATATATGAACCAAAAACGAATTCTTTACTACCTACAAACTTAAAAAACAAAAACAATATCTTTACAATAAATTTAAATTGATGCTTACGGAGAATTTTAATCTTTATTGTGTTGTAATAAATTATAAAAAGTTATTTTTTCTGAATATACATACCCACAAATAATCATAAATTTAGCTAAAAAAAATAGATGACATTGTTAATTAATATATATATATATATATATATATATATATATATATATATATATATATATATTATATATATATAAATTGTTACTTAAAACAAGGATTTCATAATTTGGAATGCCTTAATGTTAAAGTAAGACATTTTATAATATTCTTAACACAATATACTTATTAGAAATACGTAAGTACAAATCAATTATTTAAATTCCACTTTAACGAGACGAATCGCATTCAGTGGTAGCAGTGTATGACGTAATTAAGACTGATCTAAACAATTTTTTGGGAATATTATGAGTTTATTGTTCCAATAAAAT